CTCTCTCTCTCTCTGTCTCTCTCTCTCTTTTTTCACTCTCTTTCTGTCTCTCTCTGTTTATCTATCTCTCTGTCTTACACATGTTCTAATATTTGATGTTATTGTGCCCTGTACAGAGTGTGGTAGAGGAGATGGAGTTGGCCAAACTGACACGTGAAAGGGATGAGCTCAAGTCTCTTCTTGACAAGTTCGAGAGGCACATGGCCGAGGTGAGTGACAGGGTTTAGTAGTTATTGGCAGTCCGTTGGGCGGTCACTCGTGTGGTCACTGTGGAATGGTGACACTGTCAGGGGGCTTTTGCAATTGTTGATGTTGTCAAGTCAAGTGTGAGGTGATTTTCTCTGTTTGTTAGGTCAAGTTTGATGCAATTTTCTCTGCTTGTCACTTCAAGTGTAATGTGATTTTTCTCTGTTCCCAGATTCAGGCCAATGTGAAGGTGCTCACCTGTGAGAGGGACAAGCTGAATACCATGTACGAGGAAGTGAGTACATTTCGCTGATCAGACAGAGAGAAATGGTGGCATTTGATTTATTACAATAAAATGATTGTAACTGTTTGATGTTCCCATTAGCACTGTTAAATCATTTAGGAGGTGGAAAGTTTTGACTCTGTCTGTCAGGGTCAACCTGGGCTGAGTGGGGAACCACATCCCAGCAGACATTTCAAAACATTCTCAGCTTACTGGAAAGCTTTGATCAGTTCGAGTTTCTATTTTGCAGGTGTTTGAACACCAACATTCTGGCAAAAATATCTTTGGAAGTACAGTCGAACTTGCTCTAACAGCCACCTGATCACAAAGATCATCTGTACTAACGACCGCTTCCCACTCTTCTCCCTTCCCTCCTCCCTACCACCCTCTTACTCTTTTTGTTCATTATGATGACACTGTCCAAAATGTTCTCCGAAAGCGAACACTTTTCTCCTGACAATGGGTGGCCATCTGGGACAATTTTGATAGTGCACAACACATTTCTTTTTGTGTCTGGGTGTGTTATTAACGTGGCAGGCAGGCCCAATGTCATACCGAAGCATTCTCAGCAACCTGGGAAGGGCTATCTGACATTTTCTCGTGGCTCAAATGCTTACACTAATGTCTTTTGACTCTGTCTGTCAGGGTCTTTCAAAATATACTGGTATGTCATTTTTTAGCTTCTTAGGGAGCATCGATCAGTGCAAGCAGCCATTTTACAAGATCTCAAAAACTGTCTTTGTGCTTATGTCTATGTGGATGGTTCGAGAACACCACTGGTGTGTCTCCTCTCTGTCTCCCTCTCTCTCTTCTCTCTGTCTCCCCCTCCCTCTCTATTTCTCTCTCTGCCTGCCTTACTTTTTCTCTACCTTGATTTACTGTTATTGTGTCAATTTGTTTCTTTTTACTCAAGCTCCAATTTGTGACTGTTTTTCACTTTCAGACCAAAGACGAGCTTATGAAAGTCCGTCGTGAGTTGATCTCCTCGCCCAAACAATCGAAGACATCGCTTGCAGCTCAGGCCATCCTGAGACGTATCGAGAATGAGCGAGACGATGCGGTAGCTGACCTCAGACGTATGACTACTGAGAGGGACAGTCTGAGGGAGAGGTTAAAGGTCAGCTAGAACCGTTTTCTGTTGTACGATGTTTGTTCATGAACACTGTGAATGTTCCTCCACTTGGGTTTATGTTTGCCAGCGAACAGTGAGTGAATGTTGTCACAGTGACAAAAATAGGCACTAAATACCCTTTGAGCAATAATAGAAATAGGATTCTCCTGTGGGTTTTTTTTTTAAACCCAGGTGAAATTCTAAGTCAAATGATTAGAGAATGGAGACAAATGATAAAGAGAAGTGGTATGAGTATGGAATCACCTTACAAGAGAATAGAGATAAACAATGAGAAAAATATTGAGAGAATGGTGACAAATGTGGGACTCCGTGGTGAAATAGGGCACTCATCAAAATAATGAGATCGAAGAAACTGGCATTTTTCCACTTGTTGAGCAATTTCTATTGCTGTTTTAAAAAATCTCAGCACCTTTAATGTTCATTTAGCAACACTTTTCAGTGTGGATTTCAATGGAGGCAAATGGTTAGAGAATGGAGAGAAATGATGAGAGTTGAGAAAAATGTTGAAAGAATTGAGATAAATGACAGATACTATGGGTTTTTTTTTGTCTCTCGCGTGTCATTCAGATTGCCACTGAGACGTCACTGTCAGACCGTGCCAAACTGGAGCAGCAGGTGGAGGATCTGGAGACCACTCTACACACGGTGAGCTTTTAGGACCTCTCTCTCTC